GCTCCGGATGTGCAGCTCTGGATGTGGAGCTCTGGATATGGAGCTCTGGATTTGGAGCTCTCTATGTGGAGTTCTGGATATTCAGCTATGGATGTGGAGCTCTGGATGTTTAGCTCTGGACCTGGAGCAATGGATGTGGAGCTCTGGACCTGGAGCAATGGATGTGGAGCTCTGAATGTGGAGCAATGGATGTGGAGCTCTGGATTTGGAGCTCTCTATGTGGAGTTCTGGATGTTTAGCTCTGGATATGGAGCTCTGGATGTGCAGCTCTAGATGTGGAGCTCTGTCTGTGGAGCTCTGGACCTGGAGCAATAGATGTGCAGCTCTGGATGTGAAGCTCTGGATTTGGAGCTCTGGATGTGGAGGTCTGGATATGGAGTTCTGGATGTGGAACTCTGAATGTGGAGCTCTGAATGTTTAGCTCTGGCTGTGCAGCTCTGGATATGAAGCTTTGGATGTGGAGATCTGAATGTGGAGCTCTGGATGTGCAGCTCTGGCTGTGGAGCTCTGGACCTGGAGCAATAGATGTGCAGATCTGGATTTGGAGCTCTGGCTGTGGAGCAATGGATGTGCAGCTCTGGATGTGCTGCTCTGGATTTGGAGCAATGGATGTGGAGGTCTGGATTTGGAGCTTTCGATGTGGAGTTCTGGATGTTTAGCTCTGGATATGGAGCTCTGGATGTGCAGCTCTAGATGTGGAGCAATGGATGTGGAGCTCTGGACCTGGAGCAATAGATGTGCAGCTCTGGCTGTGGAGCTCTGGATGTGCAGCTCTGGATGTGCAGCTCTGGCTGTGCAGCTCTGGATTTGGAGCTCTGGATGTGGAGATCTGAATGTGGAGCTCTGGATGTGCAGCTCTGGATTTGGAGCTCTGGCTGTGGAGCTCTGGACCTGGAGCAATAGATGTGCAACTCTGGATGTGGAGCTTTGGATGTGCAGATCTGGATTTGGAGCTCTGAATGTTTAGCTCTGGATGTGGAACAATGGATGTGCAGCTCTGGATTTGGAGCTCTGGATGTGGAGTTTTGGATGTGGATTTCTTTATGTGCAGCTCCAGATGTGGAGCTCTGGACCCCCCCACCCCTCCTTGCAACCAATGCATCACCACTCTCCCAGCAGAGAAATTGCTCCTAACACCCAACAAAGAATCCCCAGCTCTCTTTTATGGTTTTTCTGCAGTCTCAGGGCACAGCCCTCTGCTCTCCAGCTTTTTGCCTTCCGTGCTGGCATTGTGTTCCCCCCGGTGTAAGCCAACACTTCGTGAATAATGCAGTATTGCTGATGAATATGCAGCTGGCTGCTGTGCCTAGGAGGGCTCGTGAATAATGCAACGGGAAGAGCTCTGTGCATCGCAGCAGCACTGCCAGAGCTGCAAAGTACACATCTGTGTGTTGGGATAGAGCTGTATTTACCCTTCGAAGTGGGAGAATGGCTGGAAGCGTGCCCATGGCACTGCGGGGTGGGGTGGGTGAAAGCAGGGCATAAAGACCAGAGAGGCATAGGAATAGTTGGAAGGGTCCTGAAAGAGCACAGAGCCATTGGGTGATTGGATTGGAAGTGTCCTGAAAGATCATAGAACCATAGGATGGGTTGGAAGGGTCCTGAAAGAACACAGAACCACAGGATGGTTGGGTTGGAAGGGTCCTGAAAGGTCATAGAATCATAGACTGGTTGGGTTGGAAGGGTCCTGAAAGAACACAGAACCACAGGATGGTTGGGTTGGAAGGGTCCTTGAAGGTCACTGCATCATAGGATGGTTGGATTGGAAGGGTCTTTAAAGTTCATAGAGTCATAGGATGGGTTGGAAGGGTTCTTAAAGATCATGGAATCGTGGAATGGGTTGGAAGATCATAGAGCCATGGGATGGTTGGGTTGGAAGGGTTCTGAAAGATCATAGACCCATAGAGCGGGTTCAAAGGGTCTTTAAAGATCGTAGAACCATGGAACATTTGGGTTGGAAGGGTCCTTGAAGATCATAGAACCATGGGATGGTTGGATTGGAAGGGTCCTGAAAGGTCACAGAACCATGGGATGGTTGGGTTGGAGGGTCCTGAAAGGTCACAGAACCATGGGATGGTTGGGCTGGAAGGGTCCTTGAAGTCCAGGCAGCCTTTGAGCATCACCACAACCTCGTGCACCTCACAAATCTCTCCTTTAAGTGGAACAATTCAGATGCTGATATCAGTGCCCCTAAGATCAGATCTGTGCCAGTGGAATTTTGCTCCTGTGGGTGATGGGAGGCAGGAGGAACGTGGAGCTGCTGAGCACACAGCAGATGGCCGTGCTGCAGTTCAACCCAGGAGAGCTCAGCCCTCGATGCAATGGGGAAGAGAGCCTTTAAAAAAGAGCTAAAAGCCACAATTAAGATCAGATTCGTGGAAGTTTTGTGTGTTTGGCAGCACAGAAGCCAAGAGCAGCCCGGTGCGCTTCTCCCTGCATGTTCAACATCTGGAATACCGATCGTCGAGTTCTGGGAACATCTGGAACACCGATCACTGAGTTCTGGGAACACACAGAACAAGTTGCTTTGCAGCACGCACGTTCCCCTTGCAGGGCTGGAAACGTTTTATACAGCAAATCTGATGTGCCAGAATCCACATGGTCAGCTGCAAACCCTTCCCTGCCCTGGAGCCGTGTGTGATTTCTGCAGCCGAATCATCAAAAGGAGCACAGGAGAGGAAGGTGAAGTCAGGGTTTAAGTTCTGCCAGCTCTTCCCATCAAACAGTTAATTAACACCCCCCTCCCCCCACCTCCAACAAGTTGTTTTCCTGTAGGAAAAAAAAAAAGCTTTTCGGCACTCGTAAAATCAATTCCTCTCGAAGGGAAATTAAAAATGCAACGTGCACCCTCTTCCCCATGTGCATTATATTAAGCAGTATGCCAATGTATGTAAATGAGGCAGAAATTTAACTAGATGGAAGCGTTTAAATATTCATAATCGCAGCACAGCGTATGCAAAGCGGGCTCTCAGCAGAACCACGCGGCGGTCTCAAATAACAGCTGTGTGCAGAGGGGGTGCTTCGATGGATCCGATGCGATTCTGGATGGAAATGTGGCCCAGTGTTCCAGATGTGGCTCCCCAGTGCAGAGCAGAGTGGGGAGCACCTCTCCCCTTCCCCTTTCCTCCTTCCTTTCCCTTCCCCTTTCCTCCTTCCTTCCCTTTCCCCTTTCCTCCTTCCTTCCGCTTCCCCTTTTCCTCCTTCCCCCCTTCCCCTTTTCCTCCTTCCCCCCTTCCCCTTTTCTTTCTTCTCCCCTTTCTCTTTTCCTCCTTTCCCCTTTTTTCTTTTCCCCCTTCCCCTCTTTCTCTTCTCCTCCTTCACTCTCTCCTGCTGGCCACGCTCTGTGATGTGGCCACCAGGGAACCATTAGCCTTCTTAGCCAACGGGGGACGCTGCTGGCTTGTGGTCAACTGTTGGTCAACCATTGGCCATCTGTTGGTCAAGTGTTAGTCAACTGATGGTGAAACCATTGGGCAACCATTGGGCAACTATTGGGCAACCGTTGGTCAACCATTGGTCAACCGTTGGTCAACTGTTGGGCAACTATTGGTCAACTGTTGGTCAACCATTGGCCATTTGTTGGTCAAGTGTTAGTCAACTGATGGTGAACCATTGGGCAACCATTGGTCAACTGTTGGTCAACCATTGGTCAACCGTTGGTCAACTATTGGTCAACCATTGGTCAATCATTGGTCAACCATTGGTTAACCACTGGTCAACCACTGGTCAATCGTTGGTCAATCATTGGTTAACCGTTGGTCAACTGTTGGTCAACCATTGGTCAACTGTTGGTCAACTGTTAGTCAACTGCTAGTGACCCACTGGCCAACCAGGAAAACATTGGTGTTCTTGGCCATTGAGGCACACTGCTGCTTCATGGTCAACTATTGGTCA